TAATATATAACTGTAAGCAAAGAAATTGTATTTAATATAAACTAACAATTTCTTACCACTTTCTAAATAAGTCTGTGAGAGACATTACAAAAAGTATAATCTACTTAGAAAGAAGTGGTTTCTTTAGGGGGGAATAGACTATGTGAGTGTCGTTTAGTGGGGAATAGAACTTGTGTGTGGCATTAGAAATTTTGGCACAGGGTGTTTTGTACTTTTGCATGCAGTCAGTCACTTGGATGAACTGCTGAAGTTTCCATTACTTTTGAATGTGGGCTATTTATTTTTCCTCTGTGTTTTAGTGGTTTGGCAAAACATTAATCAATGGTCTTTCTTTCATTTGGTCTCGATTATATGAGGACAATCTGATTTTCATTTTATTGCTTTCACATGGTTCTACTGCTCAACTCTGTATCACAATAAGAGTTTGGATGGTGCCCTTGAAAGGATTTTCATACACACTTGCCAAATGTCAGTGGATCTCTGTGTGCATCTCTCTACTTTTAATAAGTCTCTCTTCATGTTTAAAACGTTAGTGAGTACTTTTTACCACTAATTCTACCTTGGGATCAGTCAAAAAAAGTCTCTACACCTTTCCTGGAGGTATTAATTTAATTAAAATTATAGTCATTCAAAGACAATTCAGTCAACCTAAAGAGAAAGTTACAAAGTTAGTCTGGTTTGGCTCATTAAGGAACATCTAACTGAACCAGCCAATCAGAATTTAATCTACAAGCAAGACTGACTTTCTAGTTTTTCTGGGGTCATCCTTTCAAAAAATTTAAGCAGCACCAGTTATGCATTATCAGAGTTAAAAAGTAGACAATGGAAGTAAATGGGATGGGGCAGGACCCCTATGAATGGAAAAATTAACAGAGTTGGGTACAGCAACAGAAGAAAAACAAAAGAAAGAATCAAGGGAACTTGAAAAAAGTTTCCAAGAAACTAAACAGATGTGCTTTTTTGATACAGCATAGGCATTTGCAGGGTTTCCGCTCATTATTGGGTTCATTGGCTAGTTCCAGAATTGTCTTCAGATCCTTAAGAAGCACTTTCTCTCCTCAAGCTCAACAGTGATGCACACCTACCTTATACCTGTATAGCTGTATACACCTGTATACACTTATACCTGTATAGCTCCAGTTTTCTAGCCAGTAGAAGAGCCCTTGATTTCTCTGCCTTCTCTGGAGAACCAAAGGGTAATATCAGGGATTATCTTCCTTAGATTTTGATTGACAAAGTTTCCCTTAGCTACTTCCCAGTTAAATGTCATCCTATTACAGCAGTGACTGCTGAGGACTTTCAAGTGGGCCTTTCAAGGAAGACAGAAGACAGAGCTCCCTGTGTGTTTTGAGAAGTGATCACTTTCAAGCAATTAAACACGTCCTTTTAAGTAGATTGTCAATAGAATTCAGTTTGCCAAATAGGGAAAACTGTTTCAAGAACAGGTGTTTTTAATTGCTTGGCAATCCTTTGCCATTTTTATATAGCATAATTTGCGTGCAGTTTAGCAAATGTTTTATTCAGCTAGAGGAGCATTTGTAGTGATATCAAATCTTGAAAGTCTTTTATCAGTGCATTCCTAACTAAATGGCTACATCTACATGAGACAACTACTGCACACTAGTAACAAGCTACTGCACAGTCAGCATCACCAAAAAACCATTTGGGGACATTAGTTACTGCAGAGTCATTTAGTCCTTGCGTATGCAAATACTATATGACTGCACAGTAACAACTGTGCAGTGAGCATCTCACATAGAGGTAACTGATGTCTACTTTCCATTTTTATAAAGCTTATTTATCTCATTTGACTTGTTTCACTGAAGCCTGTTACCTATACCAGAAATAGTCTAAATAAAAGCTGTGTTTTCTGATGAATCAATTCATACAATTTTACACATGTAAATTTATAAATCTGTAAATATACATCCTACAGGTTGTAGTTGATACTCCGTTGTGACCGTTTGCATGTTTATAAATTAACACTTCTGAAACAACAATATTATAAAAATCTATTGTGTCATATATCCACCATAAAGCAATTCAATATAAGGGCTTGAGCATCATACTTGGAGTCATCATCTTCCACATACAGACAGAACGAGACCTATTGTAGTATGGAATTCAATCTTTCTCTTTATTTGTTAGATCATGATTCATTTTATTCGCATCTTGAAAAGATTTAAAGTGTCACTTCTGGTATAAATGAGCCCCTGGCTCCTTCAACTCCATGATTCAGCCTTTTGGTTCCCGACTTACCTGTTCACAGGGACAAAATACACTCAAAGTCACATTCAGTAAAGCTGGGGTGGGGGGTGTTATTTATTTACAACAAATGAAAACATCATTTGGTAGTCAATAGCAATAAGCAGGCAGAATCCTCAAACTACACAGTGCCTATGTCAGCTCCGAGGCAGCGTATCAGACCCAGCTCTTCTCTTTTCAGTCTCTTACGTACCTTTTCCTGTTTCTCTCCCTCCTTGTCATTAAGAGTCTCCTGTTCAAGCCAAACTCTTTGGCCTTGCCAGGTACCCAGAACAGGATGTCTCCATTTGCTATTTCTGAAATTCAGTGGGGCTCCAGCGTGTGTCCTGTGCAAAACGATTTTCTTGATGGCCCATTTCTCCTCTGTACCCATTATTTCCCAGTGTACAAGCCAGTCAAGGGAAACTGAGGTACACAACTTTATTGTTACATAAGTAAATTAAACTAAAAAATATTACAGACACAACCTTAGTCTCTCATGCTTCTCAACTACATGGCCAATTTGGAAAGTAATAACTTTGGCTCTTTGTATCTCTGTCCCAGCTACATTTTGGCAAACACCATCTGTCAGCCCAGATATAGGAAAATATACTGTAAAGTGAGAAAAATTATAAAAATTTTATCAGCAAGATGGGAAAAAATTTAATCACTAAAAATGAGTCTCTTTTTCAGTACTGGGGAACCAAAGGGATGTAGTGTAGCTTCAAGGGTAAACTATGTTTTGTAAGAAATCAAAGCAGTGTTTACATTTTGGTAGGATTTTATGCTTTAAAATGTTATGTTAAATATATTGAGACCATTGAATGAATGGGCAGGAGAGGCAAAACAAAGGCCTGTTGAAACAAATTAAAGGGGACTATGCTAGATCTGTAGCTTTAAAATAATGTTAGTTCTCCTTCTCTGGTGTACTTGGCAGCCCAAGAGGCAGAAGTAAAATGTGAGTGAGAGCAGAAAGCATCAGAAACCTTCCAGTGATATCCACAGCCACCTCACCATTCAGTGATGTAGATTAAAATTTCTTCTGAGGAGGAAATCTGGGGATTACAACATCACTGCTTTCTCAATGAGACAACCAGACCTGGCCACCAGTCTGATGTATTGAACTATGTATGCTTGCAAACCAGGCATGTCTGAGAAGCATTTAGGCACTGTCTCTAGATATGTTCTCAGGCTCCATCCTAAAAGCAGACTCCCTGGCCAGGACCCCTAATTTGCATAACCTTTTTGGGCAACAGATGCACTACACTCTCAACAAAGGACACCATGTGGGTTACACCCAAAATCAAGGTTCAGAACCTCAGTGCCAATTCATAGTTATGCATGGTGTACCCAACACAGAATGAACTACATTTTTGACACAGGCATATTCCCCAAATTGTTATCTTAGTTCCTCATATTTTGTGTCTTCTGCATGCAATTCTTAACTTCCTATGCTTTGACCAAAGTGATTAATTTATTTCAATATATATGTACAGTGGTGTCTCCCATCCCAGGTGCTTGCCATGACCACTAGGCTATTTACTTCCACTCTCAGGATTTCTGTGGTTTTGACTAGAGTTTCTATTCTGGAACTGAGAATATTTTCCATGTAAAGGGCTGGTCAAAAGTGGTAGGTTCTGACAAAAAGACCTTTAAAAAAACCAAAACTGACTGTGTTCAGTGGCTGCAGGAATTGCTAATATCCCAGGGAAATGAGCGCAGCTCTCTGTTCCTCTTATGCTGTATTTGTAATGTTATCATCTCTGTCATGGGAAACAGAGCTTTGAACTCAACACTGGAACAGTTAGGGCATGACATAGAATTAAAAGAGAAAACATGCTCTATTCGGATGCATTTTAAAAACAGCTTTTCAGAGAACGGGGACAGGGCAGGGGAGGTAAGGGGGAGCGTGTGTTTCTAACATTCGAATGTACCAGTCAGCCTTAGCAATTTCATTGTGTCCTGAGCCCTGTGCACCTCTTGAAGCAAGCACAAAAAAAATAATTTGGGCCTTTGTAATCTTTAGATGGCTTTTGTTTTGTCTATGAAAACCATTTCAATCCGATCTACAAGTGGAGTACTTACTGTTGTACAAAAAAAGTCATGATATATTCTATTATTGTAAAAATTGTGTAGTTTTTATATTTGTTGGCTAAGAAACTTAACATATAAATCATCTTTCTAGTCAAAATCAAACACTGAAAAAAACTTAGAATGTTTATGCGACAAGATTTTATTATATTAGGTTTTTTGTTATATGATTTCTTTAATGTTGAAGGAGGAAGAAATGGTCAATGGCACTATGTATTAAGACAATATGGACAAAATTGTGGCTTGTGCTTTAGTCCCGAGAGCAATTTTCTTCCCCAATTATGTGCCTAACTATTGTTCAGCATGTTCTGATATGGGGCTTTGCAGACAGGCTGGTGCATGCAGATTTTTGTGGGTGTAACAACTTATGTACACATTTGAAAATGAATTACCTTTCTTTTATTTTAATAGTTTTTAATGGATCTATCTTATTTCTTCCAGTCAATACTGGGATTTTTTTTATTACAATGCATTTTAAAGCTCTCTTTTCATGTATTTTATTTTAATTTTATTATTTTATTTAGAATTCTGCATCTCGAGGCTATATCATGGATTAGCAATTTACAAACAAACTTCTAAAAATATGACATGCATACTTTTTCATTCCCTTGCATTACCATATTCTACTCCTTAGAATATTTTCTCTTTCTGTGATTCCTTTACAGCTGCTGCATATAAAGTCTGATAATGATCAACACATGTTTCAAAGACCCTCCACCTTTTACTGGTGTAATAATGAGGATTCAACTCCTTGTTTAGATATCTCTTCCATTACATTTACTCCTATGAGCTCTCCTGACTCCAGACTATCATCTGGGCTATTAACACCACCACCTTCCAAAAGTGGTCTTCCAAAGCCAGTCAGTGAATTCAGCATCCCAAGACCTCGTGTAATCCTGCTGTGCAAAAACTTTTTCCCCACAATTTTCTTATTCTCTGTTGTGTATCATTTGTATTAAAATATACATTTTGTACAGTGGTTATGGGATAGATCAGACATATTTTACATTTTTTTCTTGGTACTCCTAATATATGGGAACTTTTCAGGCTTTCTACCACTCATATATATCCTTGAACTAATCTCTTCTCTATTTTTACATTAATGATTTTTCTGTATATACTACTTTTAATGAGTTCATTTTTTGGTAAAATAATGATACTATTTACAGATATTTATGTTATTCAAGGCAAAGTGCCCCAAAAGTTTGATGTGGAAGGGTTTCAATATCTTTCAGTAAAAAAAGAAAATTTGGTAGAAGTTTTGATCAGCTGAAAGAGAAATTGGCAATTACATTTCCTTTAGAATAGTTTTTATGAACTCTGTGCAAAATGGAGGCCATAGATAATTGTAATCCAAAATGATCTGTAACATGTATGTTTACTGACTTACCATAACAATATGTTGATACAACCTTTTATTCATTTACAAATAACATTCAGCTACATTTGGCAAACATTATCATGGCTTTCTGCATGTGGTTACTAAATTAAAATGCTTCTCATGTGCATCTAGATTTCAGTAGCACACATTTATTTTCAGATTAACCAATACTATATTTTACTTTAAGATAGTTTTACTAATGTTGTCAAAATGTCCAGTAAATACAAGACATCAGCATATCAAACATCAACATGTGAATGAAAAGTTTTTTTAGCAAAAAGACTCATTTAAGACTAAACTTAAATGCCATTTACTTATTGATCTAGTTTCTGCATAGCTCTAAAAAGTGCTCATAATTATTACCCACAAGTCAGTCTTCAGTATCAGTTGGCATTTTCCCAGTAACACCAATGGGTAAGCTGCACATCAAATTATGGTAATATATGACTCATGCAGACATGTGGGGCCTGATTCCATACCTTATGAAATAAGGTCAGGCTAGATGATCTGTTCAGCTACTATGAAACTATAAGGATTACTGTTTGCACAAGGGGTATGAAATCAGGTTCACTCCATGTATTACAAATTATACACACAATTACACACGCAATTCCCATGGTGTTAATAGGAGTCCCCTGTGCAGATTACCAGAGTTCTACTGCACATAACTGTACTCTTGAATCTTTGCACCTTAAACTATTTCTGAATTCATGTACTAACACCTGTTGATGTTAACAAGAACTGCATGTGTGTATAAAACTTCCTATAAACTATTTGTTCCATAAAAGAAGTTGAGCACTCATCTTGACAGGGATTAATAATGTCTGAGATGTATTTATTTTAAATAGATTTAAAAAAAAAAGACAGACCAAGATTTTCAAATATGGATCCCTTGATATAGGCACTTCAATACGCTTAAATAAATATAGCCAAATTATCAGAGGTATTAAGACTATCTAAATCCCAGAATTCAATAGTAACATTTGAATTCCAGATGTCTGAAACAAAATAGTCTGACTCCCTCCAGCCTACAACCTTTAAAATATGTAGTAAATATATGTGTTCCTTCCAAGAAGGCCATGGTTTCTTGATGTATTCAAGAAACAGATTAGCTGATTGTAGAATGAGAATACTTTATGGCAGGGGTGTTAAACTCATCTGGTCCTGCAGGCCAAGTAAGGATCTCTGGGCCAGTCTGCAGGCTGAACTGGGACCAACCCCCCATGAAGTTGCATGCAGCAGGTGCCAGCCTCAGGGCTTGCAGTGCACGCAGGCCGTGGGGCCGACACGGGGCATGTGCTGTCTGTGGCTCACAGACAGCATGGTAGGCACCACAGGGGCTTGGTCTGAGATGCAGTATGCAGCCCATGCCCTGGACCACTTGTGCCATGTGCAGCAGCATGTCTAGCTGCACTCTGCATGCAGCACGTGGCGTCAGTCTGGGGTGGATGCTGTATGCAGCACCCTGCCAAACCAGTCCTGTCCAGTGGCTCTGACACAGCCTGGCCCAATAAAGGCACTGCCTGCAGCACATGCCCCAGACCAAGCTCCTCTGGTGTGTGCAGGGTGCACAATGCAGGATCCAGGCCACACACTACAAGCAACCTAAGGGGCTGGGGCTGGCATGTGGGGTCGATCCAGATCAAACAGCTCAACAGGTTGGATCCAGCCCACAAGCCATATGTTTGACAACCCTGGTTTACAAGTACCATATGTAGCAAAGTGCTGAGGAATGTCATGGGGAAGAGAACTACTATAAATTACATTTCTGTGTTCAACCCACAATCATGGAATCATAATGAAGCAAGGTTCAAAGGGACCTCCATAGGTAATCTAATCTAACTCCCTGCCCAAGGTACGACCATCCCTATCCAACCTAAAAGTGATTAATTATCCTGTGGCTGTCTGTCTATCTCCCTTTCCAAGATGAGGCTGAATAAGAGAATTCTGCCACTTATGCATGAGGGTAATATTGTGTGGCTCCTAGGAGAGAGAGGTCAGTTGGGCCACCCTATGAACTTTGTCTTTTGAAAAAATATCACATGGTTCATTGGAGCAGGAAACTTTATTTGGTTCCATAGAGAATTATGTTTCTGAGAAGATCCCATATTCTAATCTCATCAGACTTTTTTTGGAATGGAAGTCTTTGTGACTCCATCTCAGGGGGGCTGGACCTGATGATCTTGTGAGGTCCCTTCCAGCCCCTAACATTTATAAATTAGTTTGAGTAGCTTGAGTAACCATTAACAAAACAGGTTGCAGCCCTATGGAACTCCTACGGACTGGCAACTAGAAATGCTGCGTAGATCCCAAATTAAATAAGTCATTCTGGCCAGTTTAACTTGTGATGAAAACTGCCTTCCTGTTAGCTACCTGGCTAATTTTGTTATTGTTTTGCTAAATGATACGGGAATAGTCCTTTTTTTTTTTTTGTCCCTTGGCCTGGCAGTAAATTATTTCTAGTTTCCAGAATCATATTTTTTGTCATCTGAGGAAAATGGTTTCCCATGTAAGGCATATATTTTGTCTTACTTTGAGTTCTTAAGCTAGTTCTCTGTCTATTTTGTTTTGACTTGATAGTGCTGTTTTCTATATTCTGGGAGTGATAGTAGAACTGCTGTATGATTTATATTTTTATTTAATATGCCTGTAGCACCACAGTAACTTATTTTGCTATTTGGTATTTGTTGAAATCTGCTAAAAACTGAGGGCTTTACTAATGAAACCTTTTCTGCTTCACGTTCAAGGATAAAAAGTTTATCTGGAATTTAATATTCAGTGTTGTCAGTGTGTTGCATGTCTAAGTTACTGCTTATCACAAAATACATTCCAAGCCTTGAGCACAACAGCTTTGTTAGGTTGTCAAATAAATAATCATATAAAATAAGGAAGAATTAGTAGAGACAAATATTGGAATTATATCTTTTATTTTCAGGCATTGTTTCTGTGCATTCAAATTTACAGCCTATTGCTGTTTCCCTGTTATCTTAAATGGGTCTTAAGAATTTCTGTCTTTTGGGGGGGGGGTTGTTGATGTAAAATTATTTGTCTCCAGCTTTTTCAGGTCTAAATGTCTTTTATTTCTGCCTACACCAGATATGTTGGAAATCTGAAATTTGCAGTGTCGTTTATGTATTTGAGGGTTTTAGCATGGCTCATAAACTTTTGGCTGCAAATGCCATTTGCTTGGTATCAGGAGCTGGGTTTTTTGCATGCCATTGTTTTTGATACTGTCACTCTTATCTGCATGCTGAAAAGTTCAGTGTTGTGATTATTCATGTGAAATATTACCCTAATATTTATTGTCCTTATTGTAGGCAGGCAGTGTGACACCTAAATCACCCTCCACTGACATCTTTGATATGGTTCCCTTTTCTCCCATATCCCCTCAGTCATCAACACCTACTCGCAATGGCACACAGCCTCCTCCAGTACCCAGTAGATCTGCAGAGATCAGTAAGTTTCACATCAACTCACCTAATTTTTGCTTACATTATGTTTTTAATGAAGCATCTAAAAAAATTACCTACCATTCAAGCCAAATACAGTTTTTGTAAATCACATTTGATGATGACATTTCATTTTTCTACAGTCTGCCCCAAAATCTTTGATGTTGCTGCAAACTTAATTTGTAAATAAATTCATTTATTTGTTCAAACTATTATAAAGATACTTTGAGGGAGTTTGGTTGAGAATTTTATTTTTAGCTTCTTTTTTAAGTAAGATTAACACAGGAAGAGTTCTGACTTCTTGTTATAATTTCCACTCCACTGGTTATGCTTGTTATGTCTATTTAAAACCAATGTTTTCAGGAGAGAAAAGTATGTAAGAGATTAAATGGACTCGTAATTAAAAGTCTCGTCTAATATTAGTGCAATGATATGTCATATCATCTAGAAGAAACAAAGTAGAAGCTGGGAATCTCAGTATGGAATTAGTTTATTTTGTCTCTGGTGTTTTATGATGTGAAAATACATGCATTCTACTTGTTTTTGGCTAGGGCTGCATCCAGAGAGATCCTCAACTCTCAGGATATGACTCAAGAACAGTTTAGATAAACTAGGATACTTTGCTGATTAATCTCACAAACTAAGCCAGGCCTGTCCAATTGTAAGCAGCTGGTGGGGGTGGGATGCAGGCTCAAGGAGATATTTTTGACCCAGTTCCCAGCCTCACAGGCTTTAAGTGCTGCCTATACTGTCCAGCTGAGCAGCACATACCACAGTTTAAACACCCACAGGACTGAAAAGGCAATCTGCAGTGAAGCAGGACAATACTCCTCATGCTTCCCCAAGCTAGGGACTGTCTGGCCTGGGGAACAGATTGGGGCCTTTGCCCTGCTGCTCTGTTCCCCTCCCCTCTCTGACAAGTCTACAGGAGAGGCGAAGAGTGGCGGGGAAGTCTCCATCCATTTCTCAGCCCTGGATGTCCGTGGTCTGGGGAAGTGCGGGGAGCCTTTTCCTGTCGCAATACTTCCCCTTCCACCCTGGAAATGAATGCCTGTTTATGGTCTTTGTGTTGCTTGTATCAAAGCTGATTGCAAAGTTTGGCTTTTGTGGCTGGGTCCACACGAGCAGGGGCATGCTTTTACAGCAGCACAAATAGTAGTGGCACAAATATATGCTACTACTTTGTGCCACAGTGCACACCCCTGACCTTGTGCTTTGCAGCAGGACACATTATCCTGCTGCTTCACATGCTGCAGAACTGGGGGTTGGCTGGGGTGCAGGGTGCCTCAGCAGCCGCTAGCCATCCCCTGCGCTGAGGCACCCTGTGCCCCGGCCAGCCGGGGAGCAGCACGTGGAGATGGGGGAGCAAGCAGCCCAGGATGCTGCGGAGTCCCCACACTGAGGCACCCTGCACCCCAGCCAGCCCCTCCACACCTGGCTGGGCCACAGTGTGCCTTGAGATGGGCAACCAGGCAGCCTTGGACTGGCTACCCCCCTATCTCCACATGCCTCAGCCTGGGGTCTCCACTGCAGAGTCCCCATGCTGAGGCACTTGGGCCCCCATGCAGAGGCACACTGCACTCCAGCCAGCTACAGAGCAGCTGGCTGGGGCACAGTGTGATTCAAATCAGGGAGCAGGCAGCCTAGTGCCCCATCTCAAGACACACTGCACCCCAGCCAGCTGGCCAGGGGTGCCTGCTCCCCCATCTTGAGGCACCCTACATTCAGCCACCCAGGGAGCAGCTGGCGGGGGCGCAGGGGGGCTCCACAGTGCATGGAGACAGGAGAGCAGGCTCCCCCCGTCTCTGCGTTTGTCCCAGCACTTGCCACTTTGGCGTAGTTTGCACTGCTTTTTTTCTAAGGGTTTTTTGTTGTGTTTGTTCTTTGCTACCGGGAAATCCTGGTAGCAAGTTTTGCCCTGGCACTGCAAATTAATAGCACTGAGCACTGCTTCATGTGCAATTCATGAGGTTTGTCTGGCTGCAGCCTGTGTTTCATATATCAAAGCTGATTACAAGGTTTGGCCTACACACTTTTCAGAAAGTATCACTGCATATCTCACCTAGCATATACACAATGGTCCTTATACTTACCTTCTCCTCATCTAAGTCAGTGACAGAGTCCTGTGTATTTCAACAGAAGTCTAATCAAGTGCAGCGATTCCAGGTACCAGAACTGATACCTGAATTTGATCCACCTTAAAAGTAACTGATGAAGCTAAGCATTAAACCCGTGTAAAACTGGTGTAAATGAGAGCAAAAATCTACCCAATCTTTCATTTGACTAACCCAGAAGAAAATACTTCAAGAGACTTGAAAAGTCAATTTTTCACAGCTGACAAAAGGTTTTGTATTTCTTTTGCAAAATCACTGTTGCCAATTTTTCTAAAATTATCACAAGTGTTATATTTGATTTAAGGCTGTCGATTGCAATGGTGTATTGATCTTCGTTAAAAAAATAAAGTTTGTAATCCTTCTGGCTATATGGAAAAACCTTGAGATTGTGACCCAAATGCTTAAATACCAAAAGACAAATAAAAATTGAGCACTATTTTTCATATAATAATTTTAAGGCATTTCATGATTTCTGACTGCCTT